GAAATGTAAAGCAAGAGAATATGAATAATCCATTCACAGACCATCGAGTTAAGCGCATTTATTTGTTTATAGTAGCATAACTATTAATATTTTTTTCTGTGCATAGAAATTTGTATTCTATTCTTCGTAACCCAAAAGAAAAGAAATTACGGCAAATTAATTAGTAGTGAGAAAGTTAAAAGTAAGATTATTTTTGATTAGTTAACCTTACTTAACATGTAATCATCATACAAAAAAAGAAGAAAAACTTCATATTTTCTTTTGTAAATAAATGTCAAATTCAATTAATTTATATCAATGACAAGAAACAAGAAAAAAGTGTATTTATGTTATTGTTTGTCGTATGAGAAAAATATGTGGTGTTACAGGTTGTTGATAAACTAGAAATCGACAATATGGACAACGATAATGTGTTTGTAACCAATGAAGAAGACATTCACGATGATAAATATGTTTACATGTTAATTGTAAAAGTATGTCAGATATAATAAAATCTCCAAAACAAATAGAACACTGTGATGAATTATCATTTTTATTATATTGAATTGTTTGTGCTACAATATCAGCTGTAAGAATTTGACTATTATCTAATGATGATATAGTTGATTGAATAATTGTAGCTATGGTTTCATTTAATAAATGTTGTCGAACAACAATTAATGAATTTGTTTGTATTGAAGAATTTATTTCAATTATTGTTTGTGGTCGTGTAGTTCGAGAACTTGGAATTGTTTGAATTATATATGTTGATTGATTAGATGATATTGGATTATAAAGAACTTTAAGTGCCCAACGATTATTAGCTATATTGACATGCATTGAATTATTTGACATAATTTAGTATTATGAAATATTCGCGCAACTCAATATTTGGTTGCTAAAGACAATATTTGAGAATTTGACTATTTATTGATTTCAAATTTTATTAAAAAATAGAAAATTTTATATTGCATACAAAAAAAAAAAGTAGATAAAAGTCAGTTATGTTTAATAAATAAATTAATAAACTCGATAGATTTTTTTTCTTCTTTTCTTGTTTAATCAGTTATCATATTCGCTATGACTGTAGATAAAAATGTATGTCGATGGGTTTATTCATTCATTTTTTTATCTGCCAATATTGTGTGCTCGTTTCAAAAAAGAAAAGGAAAACAAAGAAATATTTATGATGTAGAAACTAATGATTAAAAACAGATCATATAAATATACGTATAATGATCTAGATAAAAAGCAAAGCAGACTATTTTTCATCAAAACGGATCTTATATTTTTATGTTAATATAATAGATTACTTCATCCATAAAAGCAGACGTCTAGGTATTTTATACTATTAAAGACTCGACCGATATTATAAACATAATTTATTTGTCTGAGATCTTATGTCTTTATAGATATTGTTAAAAAACTTAAATTATCAAAGAGTTATTTATGACTCACACAGGTACATTTGAACTGATAGTTTATTTAATTTTGTTGACATTGACACCTTCGGATATTCTCTTATGAAATATCGCTATAAAAAATAAAAATTATGATATTTTCAAAGTTTATATTAATTTAATCCCATCTAATAGTAACAAAATTTTTGTTGAGTTTTTGCTTCAAGCTTTTTTCTTTATGATATATAATATTTCTTTGGAACATATTAACAAGGTAATATATATTCTGTGTTTTATACAAAAAAAAGGAAGGATATATCTTTTTTTCTTATCCAGCTTTGTAATTATAAAATCTATATAATTAAGTATGACAACAGCGAGATTCCGCGGGCACGATAGTCTGGCACTTTTTTATGGACCTATAATTAAACTTGAGAATATTGTTACTGTTTGATCTAAGCGTATAAATCTATTGGATATTCATCTTTGAAATAAACAAAGAATTATACTATGTAATGAACATAGTATAATTTTTCAAATGTTTGATGGTATCAATAGATTTATGTTTAGTAAATAAATTTTTGTATATTTTACAGTTGAATTCATTAGAATTCTTTTACAAAATTCAATTAAATTAACATTAGTCTTTTTTTTTATACTCCTAATTTGAATTATTTAGAATTGTCAAAAGTTATTGATCTACTTTTTTTTTGACAGAAGAGCGTTTGTCAGGTGTACATATTTATTATCTTGTTTGACAGATGTATATAATCTAATATTAATATATATATTTGTAATCTCATTTTACGATTTTCTATTTCAAGCAAAGAGATCTCATATATTAATTAATGCCCATAGTGATATCTGTTCAACAAAATTTGAATTAATGATCTTATTAAATTATAGAACATGACTTTTTTAACATCATCGTCATTGTTTGGCTTACAGTTTTCAGTTCATCACTATAATATAATTATCTTTATTCATGTCGCTGTAATACTTCTTTTTTTTATATATTTTTATCGTAGTTATATGTTCAAGTATCGAATGATATTGTAGTAGATGTCTGTTCATGATCACGGGATGTTTCAAAGTGGTTTTTTTTCTTTTGCTAGTATTTTTTATATGAAAGAGAAATGAAGCCAGAGAATTAAAAGCATTCTAAATCACGCATGCAACCGGAAATAAACACCTATTAATTCTTGCCGTTGATGTCCGTTGCTTAGAAGGAAAAAAAAAAAGGAAATCGGATGGGTTTTTTTCTTATGCATATTTATGACAAATAATATCTTCTCTTATATTTTATATATATATCATTTAGTCAAATATATGGTGGATTTTTTTTCTCAGAATGTATAGCTTTATTTTTGGATTTAATAGAAAAAGAAAAGGAGCTTAAGGTCTACAGGCCCCATCAGGCTTGAAATTTATTAGTCTTGCGATTTTTTTCAGATGAAATTGTTTTTAAATTGCGTAGTGTCACATGAAGTTCTTATAATTTTGTAGAAGCAGAAAAACTCTTTACTATTAAGGAGACTATACCTACCAATAGAATTGTTATGGAACAGCATTTTACTTCTTTCCAGATATTATTAGGAAGTTGGCGGGTGTAGACTTTCAATGTTGTTTATGAATATATGTAAAGATGGAAAGGAAAACTGAGTCGTTCTTGCAACTTATAAAGATGGAAATCGAATGACAAATGGGTTCAATGACGTAGAAAATAGATATATAGTTTATGGAAAACGAGTATAGTATGTAATTACTAAAAAAAGAAACAGAATATCATGTTCAATCCGGTATTTTTTTGTCGAAAAAAAAAGATCTCTTTTATGCTTTTTTTATTTTTATAAACGCTCGTGTCAATAGTTAAGTTAAGACGAACAATTAATGTCTCAATCAAAAAGAGACCTATTACTCTCCATTTAGATCTTTTTGTTTTGTCGAATTCATATGAAGTTCAAACACATTTTTCTAAGAATACAAATACTTGGCTAGACATTGAATTTATCTGGCCTTTACATTCTTTGAATAGAACTCTAGTGAAGCTACTTATGAATACTCGTACTTTTTGAGTATTCATGAATGATACTCGCTCTTGAACGTGAGTATGGCAATCGAGTACTTATTGAGCAATATTAAGTGTTTCCTCAACCTACGTGTTTAGTCTTGTGGGCGTATTTTAATAGTCTATGGAAAATACTACTAAGCATATACATGTTTGTTTAATAATTGTTGTTTTACATCCTTTTTATTTAAATAAAAAGTTAATAACAAAAAAACGCTGACGTACATTATGGTAAATTGAGGAAAACTATCAATATGAGAACGACTGGTGTTAATTATTTATCATAAACATTTTTTAATACAAATAATAGGAACCAAGAAATCTTCATTATTAGAAAAGTAAGTGGCATATTTTATTTTAATCTAATAGAAACCGACTTGATGTATTCAAGTTTATTTTTGGAAACAATAACATAAAGTTTTGAAACAACAAGAAAAATCTATTTTCGATAAAATAAATAATGAAAAATGATAATCATTAATTAAATATAATGTCTATAGATTATTATTTTAAAAATACTTGTTCATTGTGTATGCTTTCAAAAAATTGTTTTTTTCTTAATTCTTTCTTCTTTAATGATGAAGATATCTTTATCTATATCTCATAAGGTAAGAGCACAGTAAAATACAAACGATGAAAAAAAAGTATAATAAATTATTCAATCAGATATAGCTGTTTAATGTCAAATAGACATGTTTAAATTCCGTACTATTAGCAATCATCTAGTAATTTCTAAAAATAATAAATAGATAATTAAATTATTTATCTATAGCATTCTACATAAGTTTTTATAATTTAAAAACATAGGTTGCCTTTTTTTTTTCATTGTGTTTTTATAGTCAATCTTAAAAATTTTAGAAAATGAAATTAAAACTCTTTTGCATGAATACATATTTAAACGAATATTCAATAGTTAATTATTTAAAATGAAAAATTATATATCTCTTCTTTCTTTCTTCCTGAAGTCATCATTTATGAAGATCATATCAATGGCGTATCAGAAAAAAATTAAAGGATTAACTACAAAAAAAAGTCATTAAAAACAGCTTTTCTTTATTACTTTTTCTTTTTTTCATTAGGTCACCTCATTGTTCTTTATTATACATAACTTCAATCTGTCGTTTTCTCAAATTGTCTATAAGTACTTTGTTAAATATTCTGTAAAAACGACAGGTACGAATACCAAACTTGATACTCAAATCGTCACATAGGAATAATTCTGTAAAGAAAAATTCTTGATAGTACTTATCAATGTGTAGAAAAAGTTGACAGACACATTAAATTTTATGAGCATTCACAGGAATCAATTTACTATAGTCCTGCTGAAATGTTCTTCTCGTTGAATAATTACATTCATTTAGTAAATTGATTCATAGAGAAACTCTTAATAATTATATAAGATATAAGGGAAAAAGAAACTCTCTTTAAAGTTTAGCATATAACATCCAATGTTCAGTACTTAATAAAAAACGATGAATGAAATTAGAGAAAAAAAGAAAAACATATATTCATTTTTTTTTATTTAAGATTTATTTGATGTTCTCTAATGGAATATGGATCCCAACACAACAGAATCATTCGAATCGCTGTACGATGCATTAAGCTATGTTGGTTTTGCTTCAGGTTTATATATAAATCAAACATTAATTTTACCACAAAGACAATCAATTTGGTCATCAATTTTAAATCTAATTCCACTTATATTAGGAATTATTGGTTTAATTTTTAATATTCTTGCACTATTAATATTTACTGCATCAAAAACCTTTCGGCAGGGCTCATTTCGTTGTTATATTTATGCTTTTGTACTTGTTAATTGTGCAAGCATTTTAACGTAAGAAATCTTTCAATGAAAATAAGTTCGATCAGACTTTCAATTATTCAAATCACAGAGAATTAATAATCGCATACATATATTAACTACCAAAGTGCTTTTAACCTTATAATGGATAAAAATGAAAAGAATATAGATAGATGTCAACCAATTATTTAATAAAGGATAGAATATTTTGTCAGTAATATATTAAATTAAAAATTATCTCGTAAAATTTACTTAATCATTCTTGAGTTTGAATACTACTTTGAAGTCTTTTGTAATTATTATGATTATTAATGAACTAGATATATTTTTTGGGTTTTAGACATTCATGGCTTTATCTAGTATTTTATATTGTTAATCCAATGTATTTATGTAAATACATACAATATTTACAACAATCATTAGCAACAACGTCACTTTGGATTATGGTTTTATTATCATTTGAACGCTCACTTACATTTAGACGACCATTAGCAGTTAAGAGTATGTTAAAATCACGTACAATATGTTTAATACTTATAATTGTAACATGTTTATGTTTTTCACTACATCTTGATGAATTAATTTCTGTTGATATAAAAGCATATCGTTGGGTAAATTTTGCTTATGGTCTTTGTTCAATAAAACGTTATTTAGGTTTAGCAACAGATCGTATTAAAATTTTGACACATTCACTTTCATTTATACTTCCTTTTTTATTTAATTCAATTCTTGATATCTATATATGTTCGAATATTTGTCAACGACGTAAACGTTTATTTAAAAGATCATCATTAATTATGCTAAGTCATAAATCTTTTCGATTAAAAATTACTTTAACCAATGAAATAACATTAACATTATTATGTCAATCAATGTGGTTATTAATAACATATTTTCCACGACATCTTTATTACTTTTTGATATCATTTAAATTAATAGATGATCATGATCGTGATAATTCAACATTAGTTTTTTTAATACGACAAAATTTACTTATGTATTTAGCTTTTTCACCTACACTTTATGTTATATTAAGTCCAACATTGAGAAAAGAAATATATTCACATTTAGGTCAATCATATGAACGACATAGAAGAACAAGTTCAGCTTATGTATTAAGTGCAAATAAACGATTAGAAAAATTTATCAATGATCATCAACCTTTACCACGTCAACAAAAATATATAGCTTCATTAATTGCAAAAAGTGAAGAATTACCACAAAAATTTCTTCCAACTCCGATGAAAATACCAAGAAAATGTGTAATTAAATATAAATCAAAAAGTTCATCATGTTTATTTATGCATAGTAATGAATATGCATTGAATCATTTTAAAACACCGGAACGATCGTCAACATTACATCAGTGATATAAAACTTTTTTATTAATTTCATCACGAATATAATTATATATATATATGTGTGTGAAATTATTTATTTTGTTTTTCTAAATATTATTTGTACGTTTAACGTTTACTCAAGAAAACAGTATTAAGATTCTTTTTCTGCAGATAACAATTTGTCTTTTGCATATGAAATATATTCTTTTTTTAAAGTTAATATAATCTAATCTATGAATAAACTTTGATCTGTCACATGAACAACTCGTTATAATTAATTAGAATATTATGTTTATCTATTCGAAAAAAACAAATTAGATCACGTACTAATATCCGTGCGAAGATAAAAGACGCATAGATATAATCTCAGTAATTGGACAACGTTAACATCTAGCGATCTGTGGTTTTCAGCAATAGAATGAAAAGAACTCCGGATGTCGTTTTGTTTGATCTTATAATAAGCCAAACTTTTTTTTTTTTACAATTTATCTTCTTCACAAAACAAGTCAAAAAAAACAGCAGAAGTTTATATAATTTGACTACGCGATTTTGTTCGCTCAACTTTGAAATTTGAGAAGATAATTAGTTGAGTCGTGCCCTCAACTATATTTTTGAAGTACATGCCAAAAATCAAAATTACATTAAAATTGAACATTGTTTTCATGCATGTTTTGTGAAAATAGTGACCTTTAAAATCAGTTTGTCTTATATAGTATTAGACGGAAAACAAATATGTCCGGATTACTTCTCTTTCAATTGCAGGTCACTAGGGACCTGTAAAATAATTTTCGAATTGAACAATAATTCGAAAAAACAAAATTATACATTGATACGATTGATTCTTTCAAATGAAAATGAAAAATTTAAATATATTTTAATTATTCTTTGCTTTTTATATTGACCTTGAGATTATCGTATACATACTTATGTAAATTCGAACATTAACTGTTGTGTATTATATAAATAAATGTATCTGTTCTACTTTCTTGATAAAGCTTCAAGAAAATTTATTTTAGCGGAAATTATTGCTTTCATTAATAAGAATAAAAAATTAACATCAATATTGATACTCATACTATCTACGTAGTACTGGTTGTCAAACTAATTACAACTTTAATTTTTGCAAATGATCAATGATAACACTATTTATTGTTTGTTATCGTTAGAAGACGAAATGTATATATTTAATAAAGAAAAAACAAATAGTTGAATGTATTAATAATAAAAAATATGTCGATATTTACTGATAAGCTAAAAATTAATATTTATGCATGAAAAAAAAAATGTCAAAAATGTTTTTTATAAAAAGTGGAATTACACAAAAATTTGAAATAGAACTCAGATAAGAGCGATCTCTATCGAAAAATGGTGTCATTATCATACTATCATATTTTGAATACCGTCATTTGATAAGAGTATCTTTACATACTTTCATAATCATGACACTACAATATTTTAGTCGATATCAATATTTATTATTTTATTCTATTTTCAAGATTAACTTTAATTCATCTAATGGATTCTCAACCCATCATTCGTGATCTTGTCTTAGCTAATATTATTCCACCATCAACATCACCTGGAACATGTGTTCAATTAGTTGAAAGTGATAAACATCCATTTGGTCATACAATTGTCAATACAAAAAATGATTCCATATCTGATCCTCAAGATCTTGTTAATTTAGCTAAACAAATTGAAACATGTGATGCATTTATTCGTGCAAATGTTTCCAATCGTTTACAAGTTATTGTTAATCAAGTTAATTTTTTACGTCAAGAAGCACAACGTATTTTAGTGAAAGCACGACGTGATGATGAATTAAATCATTCAGCATGTAATCTTGTTCGACGACCTGGACAAACATATTATTATTATGAAAGACAAAATGGACAAAAATATTTATCAATTATGCATCCACAAGATTGGTTAACAACAATAAAAAATAATGGTTGTCCACATCGATTTCTAGGTGCATATAAATTAGAATATGATAATTCTTGGACACGACAAGCAACAGATTTTGATGATGGATTAGATGATCCATTAGATGAATTAAAACAAAAAACGACTGATACACAACAAAATCGAAAAATGATTGAGTTCCTAATTAAATCATAACAAAAAAAAAGTTGTTGTTGTTGTTTTTTCTTGAAAAATAAATTTATCGATTAAATATCGTCTAGTGAAAAATAATAATCAATATTGTTGTTGTTGTTTTTTTTTCAAAAAAATAAAACATACATCTATCCGGAGGTCAACTTCATTTTTAAGACATATATTTATCATTCTATAGAAAAGTCATTTAAACAAATGTACAATGTATTCATAAGAAAATGAGACCATCTGTTTGAACAATTTAAGACACAAGAAATTATTTACAATGTCTCGAGAGAAATTGACAAGTACCGGAAAGAGAAATAGCTATATAAGTATAATAACAAACGCTTTCTTCTTGGTCTATTAACCTTTTCTCGGTCAGGCTTATTCGTCTTTAACCGAAGAACAACAACTAGCTTGATTTGACCGATAGACAAACATTCGTTTTCCTGTTCTTCTTCTTCTTCTTCATCTTCATCTTTTCGTTCATCAAACTGAACTATTCAATTAAAACAATGACCAACGTTTTTCTTCTTTACTCTCTCTCTCGTCGACCCTATATATGTCCGTATATGGTAATCGTCGGTCAAAACACAAAGTAATAGAATAGTTGAAATCCGCGAGAAAGAGAGAGAGAAAAAAAAAGAAATGTGAAGAGCAAGAAAAAAAAACAGCGCGCGCGTTATTCGTCGACCGAGAGAAACACGAATAGGCAGCTGTTATATTTTTCATCTTTGAAATTTCGTTTTTTTGATTAACTTTCCAACATGTGTGACGATGATGTAGCAGCACTTGTTATTGATAATGGTAGTGGTATGTGTAAAGCTGGTTTTGCTGGTGATGATGCACCCCGTGCAGTATTTCCATCAATTGTTGGTCGACCACGTCATCAAGGTGTTATGGTTGGTATGGGACAAAAAGATTCGTATGTTGGTGATGAAGCTCAATCAAAACGTGGTATATTAACATTAAAATATCCAATTGAACATGGTATTGTTACAAATTGGGATGATATGGAAAAAATTTGGCATCATACTTTTTATAATGAACTTCGTGTTGCACCTGAAGAACATCCTGTTCTTCTTACTGAAGCACCATTAAATCCAAAAGCAAATCGTGAAAAAATGACCCAAATTATGTTTGAAACATTTAATACACCAGGTAAAAATTGAATAGATTGATAAATTAAAAATAAATACTATTGTTATTTTTTGTTTAGCAATGTATGTTGCAATTCAAGCTGTACTTTCACTTTATGCAAGTGGTCGTACAACTGGTATTGTACTTGATTCAGGTGATGGTGTAACACATACAGTACCAATATATGAAGGTTATGCATTACCACATGCTATACTTCGTCTTGATTTAGCTGGAAGAGATTTAACAGATTATTTAATGAAAATTTTAACTGAACGTGGTTATTCATTTGTAACAACAGCTGAACGTGAAATTGTACGTGATATAAAAGAAAAATTATGTTATGTTGCATTAGATTTTGAACAAGAAATGGCTACAGCTGCATCATCATCATCATTAGAAAAAAGTTATGAATTACCTGATGGACAAGTTATTACTATTGGTAATGAACGATTTCGTTGTCCTGAAGCTTTATTTCAACCAAGTTTTCTTGGAATGGAAACAGCTGGTAAGAATATTTTTCTATACTATTTATATTATTTTCTAATGAAATTACTTTTTTTTCCAAAGGTATTCATGAAACAACATATAATTCAATAATGAAATGCGATATTGATATACGTAAAGATTTATATGCAAATACAGTTCTTTCTGGTGGTTCAACAATGTATCCAGGTATTGCTGATCGTATGCAAAAAGAAATAACATCATTAGCACCATCAACAATGAAAATCAAAATAATAGCACCACCTGAAAGAAAATATTCCGTATGGATTGGTGGTTCAATTTTAGCATCATTATCAACATTTCAACAAATGTGGATTTCAAAACAAGAATATGATGAATCAGGTCCATCAATTGTTCATCGTAAATGCTTTTAAAGAAATTGGTTTTTTTTAAACAAATAAACAAAAACATTCAAAAAAAACAAAAAAAAGAAAAACAATTTTGACCCAACTTATTCTTATTGTTTGTGCGCGCGTGTGTATCTTCTGTGTATGTCTCGCGTTGTTCTTTAACATCATAGATTTTTTTCTCTTTAAAAAATATATAATATATATTACAATAATGTCTTCTTGTTTTGTTTTAACCAGATATGTTGTGTGTAGAAAAAAAAAAAGATTAAGGTTACATAAAATTAGTTCACAAAGAAAAAAAAAAAAGAAAAGAAAAGAAATCCCATTTATGAAGAATGAAATGTTCCAATAGCTCCTTGCATTAGTTCAATCTAAAAAAAAACAAATGCATAATGAAAAATTACAAGATGTTGTTCCAAAAAAGAAAAGTCAAGTGGTGTTATTAAAGATGTTTGTTTTAACAGAAATAATATCATATGACAAACGAAAGCTAATAAAAAACCTGCCCTCTCAAAGAATCTTCACAATTGAGTTTCTAGATAAGAAGTAATGTTAAATCCGGTCATCATCTTCATTACCGGAATTGGAAATACAATGGTTGAATTTTTCTCTGATGCAATTGTTGTTAATGTTTGTAAATATCGTAGTTGAAGAGCTGTTGGTGATTGCATGATCACATCGGCAGCATCTTTCAATGCTCTAATATATAAAAAAACAAACAAACGTAATAATTTGACTCTAATCAAATAATATGATCTAGACCTTGCTGCTTTTTGTTCACCTTCAGCAGCAATTACTTTAGCACGAGCTTCACGTGCTGCTTCAGCTTCAGCTGCCATAGCTCTATAGACACGTAAAAGAAAAAAATCATAAAATTGAAATCATTCAATATATTACCTTTGAAGTTGTACAGGTAATCGTACATCTTTACTAAACATTAAATGAAAACAATAATTAAATGATAACTATTCAGATAAAATATAACTTACACTTCAACACGTTCAACTCGAACTCCCCAACATTCAGTACCTTCATCTAAAGCAGCCTGAAATAAAATAATTATTATTCTATATAATAAAAATATTCTTTGAATTATATACCTGCATTGTTTGTGCAATTGATTCTCGATCCGAAAGAATCTCTTGTAAAGATTTAGTACCAAGACTAATAACAAAACAAAAAAAAGAAATCATAATTATCTAATGTGACTATTGATATGCCAATAAATGGCGCCATCTATCGATAGGTGTGCTGGTACATTATTAGATAGAGAAAGTCCTTCTCTAAAAGCCTACGTATATTCCTTTTCTTTAGTGACAAACCATATAGTCGTTTTTCCTTAAATTACGCATAAATATCACTTACACATTACGTAAACTAGTCGCAGCGAGTAATTGTGTACTTTTTGGCGCATCTTCAACATTGGTAATAGAAATAACTGGATCAAATACTCGAAAATACACAACAGCATCAACAGCGACTGTTACAGAATCTTTTGTTAAAATCTATATACATACATATATAGATATATAAACAATAGAAATAATCAATATAAATGATTCTAAACAAACCTCTTGGGGTGGTACATCAAATGTCACTGTTCTTAAATCAACTTTTGTATAAGCATCAACACATGGGACAATAATAAACAGACCAGGTCCCTATATTATTTTAACACACATGAGAACAAAGAAAAATTTCTATATATATACATGTATAGAAAAAAGACATACCTTGGCACCACCAAGTATACGACCAAGTCTAAACATAACAGCACGTTCATATTCTTGCACGACCTATACATTATTAAAATGGAAAGAAAAATTATTTTATTTTTTGTAGAAATAAAAAAAAAAAGAAAGCTCTTTGTAGTACTTTGAGACAAACAGTAAGTGAAAATGGAAACGTTATAAATATGAGTACATAGGATAAAATAACTAATATATATCCACAAAGGCCAATATGATAATCTTCATGAGACGCTAAATGAAAATAAAAACCAATTTTTTTTTAGAAATAATAATTAAAAAGAAATATTATTTATCTTCTAATAAAAACAAAACGATTACCACTATGTATTCTAGGCATTGATGGCCTAGCAGTATATGCTATTGGTAAAGTATGTAGGTATGATCCATGTAATTCGCGATTTCTATTATCTTCTCCTATTATCATTCTACCAATACTCGTCATATTGTTAGCTATCATGCACGAAAATGAGAATTTATGCTTCTGATTATCTTAATGTTGATCATGTTTTGTTTGCTAGACTATCGTTTTTTTTTTCTTCGAGACAATAAGGTGTTTGTTTATTTGCTGTCGGAGTTGATTTGAAAGATTCATGATGTTCGTCTCGCTCTCTATTTGTTCCCTATAGCTAGATTAGATTTCTAACAAGGACAATTAGTTGACAGAACAAATGACAGTTATATAATTGTCAAATGAAAGAAAACGTTTAGGTTTTTTTTTTTCTTTGATGAATTCCATATGATAATATTTTATTCTTACTTGTTGGTCTCATGCTTCTTGTTTCAAACGATGATGTGTTCATAGAAATGAATGCTTGACGTGACAAATACACTTACTGGTCGCACTCTTGCTTTACAATTCACGGTAAATGTGTTTCCGTTGTCTTCTTTTTTCTTCTTCTTCTTCTCCTTTCCTCTGTTCGATTTTTTTTTAGTCTTTGAGTCATTAGAATGGTCTTCTCTCTTCTCTCTCTCTCTCTCTCTCTCTCTCTAGTCTATATATTACTCCGTTTTTATTGTGCTATCCACACACACACACACACACACATGCCTCGTTCCAATTATGTAATTGGATGTCCCTTGATAGTCTATATATACAAGACATCTATGAGACAGTTCGTCATATCTAGTTGAAATCTGATCCATCTGCATTCGATGACACGTGAAAAATTGATCGATCTATCGTAGTTTTTTTACTCTAGAGAGTTCATCTGAAAGTTCAATATTTCTGATAATAATAATTTATTGATAGAAGATACCATCATCATCAACAACAACAGCAACAAGAACAAATAAAATGTTGATGATATACCACCCATCATTATACTATATTGTTATTATTTAAAGAACAATAACTAAAAAGAAGCTAGAATGGCGGAAAGATTCAATTTGTGAAATGCGTAGATATTATTTGTTCAATTGATCATGTATATAAATATATATATACGAAGTGATTAAATCAAAAAAAAAAAGAGAAGGAAGTGATGTTACTTAAATAAAGAAATATATAGGACATTGAAATTTATTTTCCCTCACCTGCCCAATTATATAAAGCAGCTGCAATTTTCTGTCGTGAAGATAATCGCCGTCGTGGCATTGCATTCGATGAAATATTTTTATATTACACGCAATATAAGAATAATAAAAGAATGTCGAATATTAATCTGCTTATCGATTTGATTGGATCTCTTCGTTGGTTCTATTTCTTTTTATCTCTATTTCTTATTTTTTTTTTCTTTTTCTTCGAGCAAGTTAATTCAAATACGCTTGAGAAATCTATCGAGAGAAAGAGATCACAGACATGCTGATTTTGTCATTATTATAGACATGATCAGAATTACAATGTTATTTAATGTCAAAAATAAACATAGAACAAGATCTTTCTTCTTTTTTTTTATGTCTCTGGACAGTCTCGTTAATAACAGTCAAGGATTAAGCTAAATCTATATATTTTGCGGTTTTTTTTTCTTCTATATGAAATCAACATCTGTATTATATCCTAATTTATGGATACCTGTATGGTTTTTTTCATGCGTGTAATTGCCAGGTCTATGATTGTATGTTGTTATTGGAAAAGTTTGTACTGATGACGTTGTTAATCGTTGACGTCGTTCATCATCTAATTTCCAGTTAGGATATTGCTTGCTGCCACTGCGCATGAATGAGTTTTGTTAGATTTTTTGCTATGTTTTGGACATGTAAATTGCTTTTTGTCTTTCTAGTTTTGCCTTTTTTCTCTTAGTTGTATACAGATGCTAATACGGACTATTATCAGTAATTATTTATTATATACTATGATATAATGATGATAGCAACGACGACTATACTATTATTGTTGTCCTATTATGTAGAAGAAAATCTAGTAGATAGATAGAAAAGAAGAAAGAAAAGTATTGCATTTAGAGTTATAGCAGAGAGACAATATTCTCTCTGAGAATTCGAATTAAGAAAGAAAGGGTGACGATCTTGCCGATCAAACAATAGAAGACATAGTTAGTCTCTTTCTCTCAAAAGATTTCCTGCGGCTTTCTTTCCTCGTTTCATCACCATCTATACTTTCTTTCGCTCACGCACATTCTATCAAGATAGATAGAATGCACAAGCACATACGTTAATAATTCTATCTTCATCTTCCCTCTTATAGACACTTTTTTTTATTTTTTATATAAGATTGATATTAGTTTATCGGCATAGTTTTTGTCGGTGACGACGGCAACAGCTAAATCATTCAACATTGTTGTCGTCATCATCATCTTTTCTAGAAAGGAAATTACATAAACGTTGCATTATTCTCTGTATATAAATATGTGTTATAAAAAAAAAAAAAAAAAAGAAAAAAAAACATGTATGGTGAATTCATCTATGCTGTGTAATATGCAATCGATATATATATATATATAATTGGTAAAACAGGCACCATGCTGAATGACATTAAAGAGCTTCATTCGAAAAGCTTTGCAGATGGTTCATTGGTGTTCTTTTCTTTGACGTGGCAGGATCAACAATTGTTGTTGTATGTTGTAAATTGTGATATGTGTACGATGATATTAACAGGAAAAGAAATGATTTATATCCTCATTAACATGCAACATCATGTATCTGATACCGAACGGGCATATATCTGTTTGTAATCGATCAACTTTATTGTAACTGTCGATTGATGAAATAGAACAAAAGAATTCGATTTTATATATTTCACACTTAGAAGTCACTAAATGTACTTAAGAAAGAAAGTATCTTTTTTTCCTGATTAAGTTATGTCAATTCTATTCTTTTCTTTTTTTTATATGAAATAAATTATTCTTAATCTAATTTCTAATCAAATGTCAATACATCGTTAAATTTGTTTATGTTCATCAGCTTTATGGTCAAATTCATAATCAATATGAACGAAAGCACGTTCGATTTCAGATAATGATTCAAGTTTCATTTGTAAATTTGTACCAATATCATGTGCTTGTTGAATTTGCATATGTCCTGGTAAACCAATGTCAACTAATTATATTATATAAATGAATTTATTATTAAATATTAAATTAAATTTTTACCTTCGACAAAAAGATCAGTACCAAAATGAAATGCTTTTACCATATCAATTTTTGTAAGATGTGGTGAAAAATGAATAGCAATCCAAGTTATTAATTTTAGAAAATCTGGATCAGCAGTTATACCAGTTAAATGACGAATATGTACTATTTAAGAATTAAATATTTGAAAATTTTAATAAATAAATATTTTCATACGTTACCAGTAGCTTGAAGAACCCATGAAATAATAATATAAATTGAAATGATTATTGCTCCAACTAGATTGAATGTTACGAAAGAAAAGAACTGTGAATTAAACAATTTTAATTCTTTTACTTGGATCAATTACAATACATCGTAGATCAATTTGTTTTAAAACAGCTTGACCAGCTATAAAATAATTTCTTTGTAATTTTTTTTTTATATAGTATATCTTACCCAAAAGGCCAGAAATGAGTGCTACACAATTAGATAAAACATCATTACGATGATCTTGTGCTAATGCTTTAATTGTTTCGACTGGAACATGACGACAACAAAAGTATAGAATGATCTTGAGTACTATGTAAGAAAAGTTATTAAGTTCAAACAAAACTATACTTTTTAACTATTTCATGTTGAAGATTTATTCTAATTCTATTTTTTTTTCATGCCATATTGGAATAAACGTAAGAATCATTGTTAATACCAAATGAAAATGAAATGTATGGGAAAATAGAAAATTAGTTATTATATTAGCACTATCAATCCAATATATCGTGTTATCTTAGCGTTTCATCAAAAAGAGAAATAATTATTACACGATAACATTTCTATAGTGAGTCTACTGAATTAAAGAATTAGAAAAGACCTAAAAGGGGGCGTTCCCATAAACCTTTGAAGCTGTATCAATCTAATCTTACCAATCGTTATACACATAACAATAATTGGAATTGGTTTTCTAATATTCATGTTCACTTCAGGCATTTCATTTGTATGATTTGTAATATATTGAATGTCAGTAAACAATCGTTTAATAGCTTCGGAAAGTACTTGTATTGATGCTGAACACATAATAACAGAAAGTATGATGATAGCAACTGGTTCAAGTCGTTTTCGTCCAGCTGGATATCTATATTGGTTTCGATGTCGGATAGCACGTGCTGTCCAAAATAGAATTATACTTGAAACAAGATCAACTGCTGAATCAATAACACTTGAAATAATTGATAATGAATTAGATAGAACTGAAGCCATAATTTTAATAAAAAATAAACACTAAAATGAAGTATACATTCTTTTCTTTTTAATTACTAGTTTAGTGAATTAATTACAATATTAATAACAAGTGAAATAGTTGTAAGAATTTGAACACGTTTTTTAAGATTAATTGTTGTTTGATCAATCAATTGTTTTTTATGATTGAGAACGTCAGCATATTTATCAATAATAGCATTTTGACGTTCATAAAAACGTCTATATCGTATTCAAGATGAATAAAAGATATTTAGAAAAGGATTTTACTTGACTTGTTTGGAAAGAGTTTTTTTATTCGATAAATCATATCGTAACGAGAGAAAATGTTCTATTGAACCGTAAATTGAAGTTTCATTCAATGATTCATCTAAATGTTTATGCAACTACAATAGACATTTTTACCATTCAATTAAATCATTGCTCACTTAAACAAGTTGATTGTTTCGATAAGATTATTTTAGATTTAGAAGAAGTCGTATAATTAATATTAAATGGAGCATAATGAAATGTGATACTTGACTGTTCATTGTTTCTGTCTCTATCCGACGACATTATTGAAAAGAGCTTTTATGAATCATTTCTATTTAATCGATGATTCACTCTAAAAAATTGTTTAATAAAAAAGAAAGAATTTATGACCGAAGTAATTGTGAACGAAATAAACTATGCATTTTTATTTAATCATCATACAATAATTTTTCCAATTGTGATGGATAATAGTTCTTGGATTTTAGAGCACATTCTATTTACATATTGATCTAACTAACATATAGAATTTGAATTTAACATACATCAATTATTAATGTGGATTCTTTGACGATTATAATTGTATCAATTATTTAGTAAATGAATTAATATGAGATTGTAGTTAAAGTTTTTAAAATTCCCTTTTCTATTGAATGAATTTTGTATTTGAAATGTTTCTTGATTCCTTTTTTATTTACGAGACAATATAAGTTTTTTTTAAATTAAATTATAGAGAAAACAATTAACAATTTATCTAGCGACAAGGAACATCAGACATGAGTACAAACACGAATTGCTTTAAAAATTTCTCATAATTCATATAATTTTGCTTTCTTTTGATGCTTATGTCTGATATATTTTTCGCTATTCGACAATAAATATACGTTGTTAGTTTTTTGCAACGTTTCAATGGATTCAAAATGTGTCAGTCTTATACGAAATAATGTAGGTGTAAGTGTGGGTGTTCATTCCTTGGATACCAATACCCACACCCACGCCGACACCCTTTTTAGAGATATTATCGAGAAAAATTCAATCTGATTTGTATCTTTTTTAGGAAGACCAATTCGCTCGTTTACATTTAGGATTTATTTCTATTAAAGTATCTAGATATCTATTTTAATTGAAGTAAAAACAAGTTAAACAAGATTTCTTTTCATTCTAGAGAATCTTAACAATTTTCTATTTGTTGAATATATTTCAACTATGACATTTTAATTATGAGATTAAAGACATCAGAAAAATCGAAGATTTTAACTGTAAAATATCAAAAGGGTGTGGGTGTGGGTGTGGGTGATCTCTCCAATGACGCCCATGCCCACACCCACACTCATATCACCCACCCGTATCCCCAGTATCTGCAATGTATCATACGTATCTCGAAGGTATCGGCTGTATCGCCAATGTATTCTCGGAATTCTATGGATTGTCACCTTATCCTGGATAGACGGAGTCCGTCTTTTCTCCCTTGACTCAGATAATTCAGTAAACGCAAAGGATTGGATGTTTTTTTTAGATCTTTGCAGAAAATTCAACGAAAAACTACCATAGAAGATTTAGGGTGTTGGTGTAGTTGCGTGTGTTCGTATGATATTTTCTCTGCTGGCACTTGATGGAATTTAGGAACAAACTCATAGAAGATATCAAATGTCTATTTGCCAATCAGACAGTTATTTCATCTTTATCCAGTTACGATATGAGCGACTAGCATTCGTTAGATCATTGCACTATGGCAGCAACCCATTTTTTCAGCAGTTGTTCTACTTTTTTCAGTCGTAACATTAATGGTATCAGATACTTTGGGTGCGGATCAGGGTGGCCAGATCTTCCGATATGGCAGGAAAAATTCCGATTTTTGAAATTTTTTCCGACGAATTTCCGACGTTCCGATTTTTTCCGACTTTAGCATATTTTTCCGATCACTTTCCGATTTCCTAATTTCTCTCCGGTTTTAGGAGTTTTTTTTAAATTTAAGTTTTTGGAACAGTTTAGAATAACTTAACGATGACTCAATACTACATATATATTGCGACATCTTTATTTTATTATAATTATTAGATAGCGCAGGGTCATGAACTCAATAAAGCACACTTCAATGCTCTGAAAGGTCATCTTCCAATAAAATTAAGATGGTTTAGAGACAACAAAGATTCAGTTCTATCTCGATGAACTGATTTTCTCTCTTAGTTTACTGTATTGATAATTGCAACTTTTTTCCTTTTTGAGTTTTTCTTGTGCGATTGCAAATATAATAAAACCAATCATAATCGTAAAGGTNATGAACTCATACAGAGTAAAACTTTTTCTTATTCAATACAGTGAGTCTAAAGCTATTTTCTTATCCTTCTCTTACCTAATCTTATGAAATCTATACCCTAGTCCAACCGTAACCTGTATATATGCTCTCCCAGAACCTACCGTATTCTTAGATTTTCATAATTTGAATGGTTGAATAGGAGTAAAAGTTTCAGAAAAAAGATTCTAGTAAGAAACTTTTTGATAAATATTTCAAAAAATATGCCAGAATCATACCAAAATTTCGCCTTACTCATAGTGGATTTATGCGATTCCTGAGAATAATTATAAGCTCGTTCGTGCAACGCGTAAAATAAAGTCAATAGATGTGTGCAGCTTTTCATCAGACAAAATCTTGAAGATTCACCTAAGCTCATTAATTTTCTGATCACTTTAGTATATACAGTGTTACTTCATAGCATTAAATTTTCGCTTTCTCAGCATAGAAACTCACAGTCAAAAAATCTATTGAGATAAATCTTTACTCTCAAGTAGATCTTTAAAACCGAAAAAAAATATTTATAGATTGAAATGAGTGAATATTATAACTATTTTTTCTAATCGACAATCATATCCTGAAAAACGGTTAATAAGTCGAGAAATGAATTTTTCTCATTTAAATTCACAAAATCAATTGGCATAATCATAATAGATTTAACAAGAAATTTTGAGATCATGCATCACGAATTATGCTGATTTAACTTAAGAATATTTATTTCAATCTAATTTAAGAAGAAAGAAGCTCTTACTAAGAGTCCAAAAGTATGCGAAAATCTTCTCAGAATGTTTGTCAAAACTTAGTCTTTTGTTTGAAAAGCTATAACTTCTGATCGAATAAACTTTTTTGATCTTTCAATGAAAGAAAAAAGCTTCGATTATTGTTCAAAATGAAAAATGATTTTCTGATACAATGGAGCGCTCTTCATTTTGTCTTTTCGCTTTCAAAACACTGCATAACTGGCCGATCATCTGAATCATCGTATTCCAAAACACGATGTTGCGAATAGTTCAATAAAAGTTCGTTCCACTAGTGCCATACTAACACTTCATCTCTAAAAATTGCGGTTTCACTTTTATAATAACAACGAGAACTTCTAAATTAAAACAAATACAAGAAGGGTCTTGCAGTTGTATGAATAATATTCTGTACTATTCTAAACCTATATTGCCGACTAGGATAAGTTGAAGTTAATCAACAGGAATCTACTAGAAATCAACAGAAGGGGAAAATAACAGATTTGAATTGTAGGAAGGATTAAGCAATATTTACATTCTTTTGAAAAATTTTAAAAGATTTGAGATGTTTTAAGAATATTTCATAAGACCTCTAAAAAGCTCAATGACTTTCTGAAGAGTCTCAAAGAATTCTCTCTAGTTTGAGAGATTTCACGAGATTCTAAAAGATTTGGAAATATCTCATGAAAATCAAGAGCATTTTACAGAACTTAATCACATAATGAAAGTTCAAGAATACAGTCTCTTCTATTTCTTTGTAGATTTCAAAGTGTCTTTTTTTACAATTTCAGATAATAAAACAAGTGATAGAAAACATATTTGTAACGTTAGAACTAAGAAAAAACTAAGTGATTATTATGGCTTCTCCATTACCTACAACATCAAAAAATAGTTTGAAACATGTTGAATGGATGTGGAAGTCGAATCCAAATCCATGGTCTAAATCGGAACCAGCTGTATGGAGTCACTATTCAGATGTGGAAAATCTAATTATCGAAGAAGCATTCACAGACAAACAACCATTAGCACTCTTAGATGAGTATTATATTGATTTTCAAAATAATCTTCAAGTGTTCAACAGTGATCATAATAAACAAAGACCTGTTAAACGAGTTGTACGTAAGAGAGAAGACAAACATCTAAGAGAAGCACGTTTTGTAGATCTTCCTGTTTCTTCGGGACGTTCGTTCGGTGGTCGATATGGTTGGATATCACCATTTGTAGTCGAAGTTCGAAGAAATTTGGGTCTTAAGATAGATGAATTACCTTCGAAAAAGCCAACTATGATACCAATGCTTGTTGAAAAAGCTGCTTGTGGTATAATTGAAGAAGGCAAATATCTTAAGAAAGAACGAGAAGCTGAAAAAATGGCAAATATGCTTAGAGAAAAAAAGAATCAAGACATGAAAGAAGTATGGAAATGTTGTGCTTATCTTTATTCCTTAGAAAGTTTTCTATACAAAACTTTGAATGCAGCTATGAGATTAGTAGGAGACGAACAACACGAAAATGTATGGCGAAGTAAAATTCGTACATTAGGTCCATTTTGTTTACTACTTTGGGATGATCCAATAAATATAAAAGCAAAAACTAAAACAACACTTTACCGAGGAGCTGAACTGAAACCTGAACAAATCGCTACCTATGAAGAAATGGCCAAAGACTCCGATAAATGTGGATCATTTCAAGCTTTTTCATCATGTAGTCAAAATCGTGAAAAAGCAGAAGAATTCGGTAATACTTTATTTATCATGGAATTAAAGGGTGCTTTTACTGCTGATCTTCGTGAATTATCTGAATATCCGAATGAAGAAGAGGAGCTGATTACACCAGGTGTTTGCTTTAATGTTAAAAAAGTTGAATTTGATCGCAAGACAAACAAACATGTGATCTACTTACGACTTTATCAAAACTATGAGAGTAAGTTGAAACTAATCTATTTGAGAGGACCTTGTAACATAGAAAAAGTATTTATCTGCAATATTTCTATTCTTATTCATCTGTTCTATTAAGATGAGACGAAATAATTCCCTTCTTATTTCTTTAGATAACTGTATCAAAGTTCTAAATCGTTGCGAGAAGTAAATAATTGTATTTGAAATTTCAAATATATTCTCAAAATAAAAGGATACTTTCTAAAAACTTCAGTAAATAATCTAAAAGTACTTGAAGTTTCGTATGGCATTATATATTAAAATTATATTTTATGCTTATGAATTAGAAAAACAAATCGAATGACATGAAGATATTTACAAGTACTTAATTTTGTTCATTATCAACAAAATTAATTTTTTTATTAATGTTTCATCACTGCAGAAATACATTTTCACCTAAGTAAATATATATTCTGACATAGAGCTCTTGAAAATTTGTATTAGTCTCAATGTTTTTGTCATTCTCTTCAATTGTTTGCAAAAGAATAATTGAATTATTATATCATTTCTGCGCTTCGGACACGCTCTAATAATTAACTAGTCTTCTTTTATTATCTCTTTCATTTTTGTGTTTTGAAAGTAGAGAATAACTGAATACATAGAATGTAGTTTTATAGGATATAAGAACTTGTTCAAAACTTTTTCTCCATCTTCATAAGAAATTCAAATTCGTTTTCATTTTTCATCATGGTTATCAATGTAATATTCGAATTATTCTCGAGCACATAAACTAAATATAAAACAGAAATCTTTTGAATGAGGTCAAAATTTCAATTTCTATCAATATCTAGAGTTTCATTTTTGAAGCGATTATTTTTCTAATGAAGAAATTTTGAAAAAGCAACGATAATTAGTATTTGTCTACGTAAGTGCAGAATCTACTGCTAATATGATAAAAATCTCTGTGAGGAAAAATTTTCATAAAAAATTTCGATTAGTGTAAAATGCAGATCAAAATTCTTTTCAAAAATATTTTATTTCTTCTCTCATATTGAGAAATAAGAGATGCCTCATGATAAATGGTCAAATATTATTTTCTGCCTTTGATATATTTTACAATTATTTTGAATTTTTCTATTCATGACAGATAATGCAAACTATAATTTTCTAATCGATTTAGATTTCTCGCGTCAAAGCAAACTTACTGATAAAATTATTTTGTCTATCATAAAAATGCTAAAATCAATATATCGAAAATTAAATAAAGAATATTTAAGAACAAATCTGATGAATTTTGAAACATGCTACAATATTTTAAATAGATTTCTACATCGATCGATTAAATTTTTGAAAGCGTGAGCAAAAAATAGGTTTCAGATAAATTCAAGATATTGTTTTTGGTTGATTCTAAATAATCTATATGTGTTTACTATTTAAATCAACAATACAGATCGGTATTTTCACAATTTAATTATGCATTCTCGATGACACGAAAATCAGTATTTCATCAAAAGTGTCTAACTTCTAATAAGATTCATTGTTATAGTAAAACTAAAGATACCTTAGAGTGTTAGATCGTAACTTCATTCTCTTGAATAAAGCATTTATATTCATCTTAAGATCATAAGCATCAAGAATAAATGATTTTCAATCTTTTGTAATCGAATACTTCATTTCTATTATCAGCTTTTATGAATAAATGTTTACATAAATAATTTTTTATTCATAGACAAGAGAGAACTTGTCGTTTAACAAAAAACAATTGACTTTTTTTGTTTCATAAACATAGATCCTAAATGACAAATATCTCTGACTACACACATTCGCTAGTTTTCGAAAAAAATCAATTCTTTACCGAGAAAGATTAGAATTAAAACTTAAACAAGTTTTTATTTTAGTTCTAAGCTAGAAAATAAAACTATGTTATGTAATATAGGATGCAAATTGATATTCCAAACAGTTTTCACCACATGAACACTTGCATATTTAGGTAAATTTTTCAAATTTGCTTGTCGTTTGGGTATACATTCGCTATAGTTAAATTATTTTTCAATAAATGAATACAAGATAATACTTGAATATTTAAAGTGATCGAAAATTCTTAACACTACCTGAACATATGTCATAGATTGAATTAAACTTAGATAGAATATGTTTATTAGTTATGACAGAAAATCACAATATGTTATTTTTTTATTTAAACAAAAATTTGAAGTTTCCTTATCAATTAGAAAATATAGTATTTGTCTATCGTTTGGAAATTACGAAGATTATTTATTTTCATTTGANCCGTACTCCCCTACAGGGATGACCAAAGTACTTCTTGGCCATCCCTGTGGACGAGTACAGCTATGGACCAAAAATGACTTTAAAGATTTTTTTAAAAGTTTTGATGAATATATCAACAATGCATACTGTCCATATTAAATACAAACTCTCAAAGAAATTTCATTCATTGGCTGAGTCATGGTACATAAAGGGTTAATTTGATCTGAATATTTCTCATATTCTTTTCTAACAGTATAAAATCTTCCATTCTAACAGAATAAATGAATATTATATGTTGTAGCAAATACTGCAAATTATCAAAATCCATATCCACCATCAAATCCATATCAACAACCAAATCCTTATCAACAACCAAATACTTATCAGCAACCATATCAACCTCAACAAGGTAAAATAATCATTCATTTTTTTTTTGAAGCAATCTAATTGGAATAATTGTTAGGTGGTTATCCACAAAATAATCCACAGCAATTTTTTCAAAATTCTTATGCATCATCATATCCTCAACAACCTCAAGGCAATATGACACTGCTTTAAAATAGTGAAAGTTTTCGTAAATCATATCTTTAATTTTGAATAGGTGGATATCCTCCAAATGATCCACAACAAGTGTATCAACAATATGGTTTGTAGTTTGTAATCGTTTGATTTAATCCATTTTAATATTTAATAGGTGGTGGTGGTGGTGGTTACAATACAAATTTTAATCATGATCGTCTTCAAGCAATAGCTAGAAAATATGAAATAAATGATGCATTATTACAACGTCTAAATATACTTCAACAATTTGAAATTATTGTACTTTGTGATGATTCTGGTTCAATGAATACACCTGTCGATGGAACAACTGGCACTCGTTGGGATGAATTACGAGCTATCGTACAAATTGTTATCGATATTGGTACCATATTTGATTCGAATGGAGTTGATGTACATTTTCTTAATCGACCTCCTATGCTCAATGTAACTGATCCTCGACAAGTTGTTGAATCATTTAGTCAACGTCCTCAAGGATTAACACCTCTTACTCTTGCTTTACGACGAATTTTTCAATCAGCAGCAAGTAAACCTGGTAGTAACAAACGTTTACTAGTTTTTATAGCTACAGATGGAGCACCAACGGATAATCATGGTAATGTTGATATACAAAGTTTAGAAAATTTAATGCGACATGAACGTCAATCAAATACTACGTATGTAACGTTTCTTGCTTGTACTGATGATGAAGCAAGTGTAGATTATTTATCTCAATGGGATCGTACAATGATGAATGTTGATGTTGTTGATGATTATAAATCAGAACGAGAAGAAGTACGTCGAACAAAAGGATTCAATTATCCATTTTCATTTGGTGATTATGTTGTTAAAGCATTAATTGGTGCTGTTGATCCACAGATGGATGCTCTTGATGAATATACAAATATTAATAAACGTTGGTAGATTTTTATTAATAATCAAGTCTTTGTAAAAATTTTTTTTTTTCTAATTTCAAACTAACTTAATACAGCATTTATGCAAGAAATATATATATATATATTGTAATCTTTGTCTATCGTACTTCCATTCAACTATTGCTTTTTTACTAAGAAATAAATAATCTCAATAAAAAGAACAATAATAGATGCGCGTAAAAGTTATATTACTATTCACGTCAAAATGTTATATATGTGGATGTTCTTTTAAAAATTTTTGATAGCAACAGCGTAGAAACCTGGGATTTTCATCATTCAAGAGAGAATACCTAAGGTCATCAATCAATCAAATCAAGTGAGTTTTTGGTGAAGATTTAAAAAAAAAAGATTCCGAAGTCAATTCCCATTCATTTGTTGACTTAACTATAAAATAATTTAGGCAAAAATTGTTGAAATTTACCAAATTTATTTATTTTTACCATACATTCGAAATTAGAAAAAAGAAAAAGTATTTTAAAAAAAATGTCTAATCCATCTTGAAAAGATTCTAATGTTTAGATACACACAATTTTCTATCGTTCTATCTTATATTATTGCATTCTTTAAGACGAATAATTTGCATATACGCAAGTCTTCTCCAAAAAGTTAATGAAATAAATAAAAATATGAGAATGAATGGATTTTGAATTTAACTTTGTTTATAGTATGTTGTTTAGGTAAAAGAATCTCATTCTTCAAGCTTTAAGATCAAATTTATGTCCAATTTTTACTAAGATTAGATGCAGGATCAGCAGTATATCAAATAGACAATGTAATGTGTATTATCAATTATGTACTGAATCTAAGATTGAACTCCATAATTTTGTCGACAATATCCTCGTAATTTTAGATACACGCTGATATAGTTCTTTATCTGTCATTATTAATGTTAATATGAATGTTGTTTGAAATGACTAGTTTCTCTACTAATAAGTATCTGATGTTTCAAATTATAAGTATGATACCACTCAACTTTTGATCTTCGACCTAAGGAATTACGCTATAGTAGAAAAAGAAACGAAAAGCAAATTATAGTGAAATGATTTCATTGTGAAGATATCAGACACTCCTAAAGTGCAACTAAACTCATATGCACATAGCTACAAGCACATCATTGAATAACGATCATCAATGTTAAAATTGTGAAGTTAATATTTGATTTTTCTCTATGTATGGCTTCTTTCATTGTGACTCTTAGATCCAAGTACAGATGGATGTTTTAAGTAATAAACAGATCTGTAGTAACGTTTTCTGACAAACAACATGCTATTCTGATATTCAAATGGATAATTATAACGAGTTCTTCGAAATGAAATGAGAGATGCTTCACAATTCAGAAGTGAAAGCTCTACTATAATAAATGCTCGACAAAAAGTGATGGCAAAGTGAGAGATATTGGAAAACCTGATCTCATCGCTTTCTTTAAAATCGAAAACTGAATAGCCTCGAACCAAAATATACACAGATCAATCGTGACTTGTCAGTGATATCTTGATCCCATGCAATAGTTATATCATTCTCGTTCTTTAGTCAATATTCAGTTAAAAATGTTTGATCAGTCTTTACATTTCGCCTCTCTAACCATTCTCGAGATAGGATACAAAAAAAAATGATCAATAGTTTTCTTTTCTCTAGCTGTTATTAACTGTTGTTTTCGAAGTCGATATGGATTGAATTGAATATTCATAACAAAACAATTAACGCATTCTTGAAATAATTGAATGGCAACGAAAATAGTCTAGAAAAACTAAATTGTGTGCTTCGAGGATTCAAAAGCAGTAAACTTTTAACAGAATGGAACTGAATCGAATTAAATCAAATAGTCGATATTGTTCATTCTTTTCGCTCTCTACAACGTGTATACAAAAACAATCAACCGATCAGTGCCCATATTCAACGTTAAATAAATTGCAAATACGACAGAATCTTCAACAAAGTCGACTCACATTACAGTTGTTAGAAACTCGTTGATCAACTTGCCTTTTGCTTAACTCAATTAATAAAATGATCAGTATTACCCATGAAAACTATCGTGGTTAACAATTCGCATACATATCCTACACTACTCCTTCAAACAAATTCAAATGAAATTTCTTTTTTCTGCGCGTCAAACGATTGTTTCTTTTTATAGCACCAGCTCATATGAAGTAAGAGACGCCAAAGTTGAATAAAGTATATAGCGTTGAAAGCATATTTAAGTGTCAACAATACATTCGTATGAACACAAATTGAAGCAATAATTTCATTTTTATGTGCAATTGTGCTGTCGGAAGTATGAAAGTTTCGAAATGATAAACGGCATCATTCAGTTGTCGTTTGCAACTTAAGCCCTCATTGGAATACTTTAAACATATTGCTCAAACAAATATGTTCAGTAAATTTTGTATAATCAGAAAAAGAATTAATCTCGATACTGTTGCTCACTCAAGGTCACTTTGCCTCTAGCAGCCAAGATCAGATTTTCAAGAATATGGAGTTGTCGGTTTTCGTGACAACCCACCATTTACTACAGTATCACTCTCTATATGGTTTTCTTTTTCTTTTGATTATAATTCGTATTTTTCACAGCATCACATTCTCTAATTCTATGCGTAAATTTTCATTTACACTGTACTTTATATCTTCATGCTTACCTGTAATGTAGAGCTCTGATGGATGTAAATTCTTCAATAAATATGTCTATCTTTCTTTGATTAATTCATCCATATTTTTACACGTAATTTTTCACCAATATGATTTCGGACGATTTTTTTCTACAATTCACAAAACAACTTTATTCTTGTCTTGATGATGAGTTTTTGTCAATATGATTTTAGATAGAAACAATATCCCGTAAGAAGCATTTACGATTGCGTTTTGAACCAGGTGTGTTTATTTTTCTTTGTTTTTTAGACGAAAAATCAGGAGTTCTTGAGTACATTGATATTTCTTTTTTGACTTGCCGATATTGATGAGGATCAAATGTTGTTATAATTCGGTTTTACTCAATTATATATCTTTGAATCTTTCGACTGCATGTTTTCAAAGTAAGGACCTGTTCTTTATTTGTAGACAACAGTTAGTCGAATGATCATACGAGCTCGAACGCGAAATAAAAAGTTCACCGATAGACATAGATCCTACCATGTTCGATAAAAGTCTAGGTTCTATGATGGAGATGACTCTGGTTGATGCATTCAGTGCTCATATCGAATTTAAGCCTCATGAATATTTGGACTCACATTCATTTACAAGTCTTGAAAGAGGCGGAACGTAAAATCTTGAAAAACAACAGGTAAGACTGACTTCAGAGATTATGATAGCATAGATTATATGTGAAAGGGTTTTATGGAGAAGTTTTCTTTTCTCCAATGTAGTTAATAAAACAGAAATTCGAAACCATAAGTTTTCAAAGTATACAGAACTCTTCATAATCCGTTTGACTATTCATGAAAATTACTTAAATAGGAAAATGCCTAAAATGAACTAATTGTTTTATTTCAGTTTATAGATGATACCTTAATAGCTCTCTGTCTAGCTACGTCGGTCATTGCTTGGCGTAACTTTGTTTCCTATGATCAATTGATACGCTGCAAATGGTGGTATCAATATGGATATATGTCATCAACAGAAGAATGTTTTGATATTGGTGAAACCACTAGGTAATCTATTATTCAGTTTGAAAAGAATCAAAAAGATTTTGTAAAAAAAATCAGCATTCCTATTAATTATATGGATTCCCTATCCGATCCCGACTGTTTATATAAGTTTAGCGTCCACTGCAGGGAAGATGGAGTCACCGGAAATGGACTTCTTATATGTCTCGGTCTGTTCCACTTTTCTTCTACTTAAATCGTAAAAAAAGTCGTCGAATATGCAGGTATCAGTGGCAAGATTACCCATGGCCATGGCAAGACCTACGATGTATACCGATTTTATGCAACACGCATCATAGGTGCTTTTCAAAACAAATCTAAAGACGACTTACTCAAAGAAACATTCTAAAAAAAGAATCCACATCCACACACCTATACTAAATTAATAGGGTGATACAAAAACACTTTGGCTCGTCTTTTTTTTTGCATGTGGCAGGCAGTTTTTCTGACATCAATAGAACATATTGGCAAATGCATTATGATAAAGATGTTATTGCTCATAATTGGAAAACTTAAGGTAGACATGTTCTTTTTAATTATTCTAGTTTATTCTATTTTTTCAAAGAAATTATCAAATTATTTTTTGTCTAAGAGAGTAAAATCTAATGTGCTAAAAGTTTATACAGAACAGCTAAGCATATCAAAAACAGCAATCCGTAAAAGCAAAAAGCAAATAAACAAATACTTGACGAACTTGAATGTAATTATTTAACGGGAGAATTTCAATAGAAAAAAAAATAATAAAAACATGAAATATTTATGAAACAATATTTATGATAGATGATCAAACATTTCATTAATACTATAAGGGGAAACATGCTGAAAGAGTATCATATAGTTATGAAACATTCAGATTGAAAAATGAATTGTTTTTGAGTGGAACACAGGGAATGACTTCGACATAATTGTTTTTTTAAATATTTTATTACAAACGAACAAAATACGAAAAATGCACTATTTCGTGTTTTTTACATATCTTTTTAACTGATAAGGATTGTAAAACTAATGCATGAGAGAGGAAAGAAGAAAGAAGAGAATATTTTTTTTAAATATTATCCAGATCTAATAGGTGATAGTGAGTCATTTATTCGACGAATAAATGCTTGGTAATCAGCACGTTAAAATCGTATACACGCAATAGCCATCATCACTAAGCAAAATATTTTACAGATCATCGGTTTATCTTAATCCATATATAATAATCAATTCTTCCTTCAAACAGCTTTTACATATGTCGATGAAATTTATTTATATGATCTTATACCGCTTTTACAATTACGAAAAAATTGTCTATCATCTTATTGATCTAATCAAAAGACGATAAAACAACAAAAAGCTTGAAACTGATGAAAAT